GCCTGCTCAGTCGTGGAAGGGGAATGGTTCCAACACTGGGTTTGTACCAAATCGTTCACTGATTTGGTGGTTTCTTTTCGCTTTGTAGAGGATGTTTTGCATCCCGGTGCCTGATTAATAAAACCTCTGCTCACCCACTGTGACAAACTATTGTATTTTGGTTAAAATATTACAGAGAGATACTGATGTGATAGAACGTGGAATATTATCTCTAATAAGCAATTATATTTCATAATATGAATTAATTAAAATCTTAAACCAAATAGCTAATTACAGACCTTTTAGCTTAATAAAGATAGAGTGCAGAAAGGGATAATATACATGGTAATTATTGAGTTAAGCAGAATGTAATGTGCATCCAGGGCTCGCTTAGGACATTCTCAGTCAATACTTAATTACTTTACTGCTCTCTGAAGTCTGCGTGGCATCTGGCTGCTCTGCTCGTGCTCCCCCTCCCAGACATCGTCACTGCTGTGATTTACCTGTGGCCGCCCTTCTGCAGCGCCGGTGGGTGAGCAGGAGGCTGGGGCAGGGGATGTCTCGCAGGGCTGGCGGGCCGTGGTGGGTCGTGGCCAGCTCTCGGCCCGTGCCTACGGTGCGGTGGACCTGCCCGTGCTTGTCCCAGCCTCCACCCTGCGGCACGCACCGCTGGCCCGGTTCTGCCCGGCTGCCTCCCATGGGGTCTCTGCCTGGCCCTGGGCTCTGGCTGTTGACCCCGCTTGGTGCTGCTTCCCAACGCTGCGAAACTCCCTGGGGTTTCTGCTATTGCTCTGTTCTGCAGGGAGGCAAACGCGTGCCTCGTCCGGGTGTTGCAAGGCGTGGGTCTGTGCCGGCAGCTGGCAAAGCTTCCTGGCGGCGTGCGTGCCTGGCGTGCCCTGCGGAGACCCTTTGCTTCGCCGCTTGCCTTGATTGAGCGTCATTCCCAGCATCGCACAGCCGTTACGGTAACGCAGGGGAAAAATTTGTTTAGCAAGGCTTAAGGTCAGGTTTTGAGAGTTAACAGTTGCAAGGTCGGGAACAGAGAGTTACAAGAGAAAACACAACATAAACTGCAGTCCTGCGCCGAGCGCAAGGGCCAGGCTGCTCCCTCGGCTCTGGTCCCGGTGCCGCAGGGCTCCCACGCCGTGCGTGAGTGTGCGAAGAGCCCCGCTCCCTGCCTGGGGCTGTCTGCGGACCCAAGTTAATTACACTCACTGCCAGTGCAAATGAAGGCAACGCTCCTCGTGGCTTCCTGCGAGGCGGGGATGGATGGGAAGTCATCTCAGACTCGACTGTCACATTCCCTTATGGGCACGTTTGGTGAGGCTAAACCTCTCTGCAGGCGTGTACACAGCCCTGGAGCGCTGTCAGCATCGACTGCAGCCATCCTGGCGGTGTAACGGCGGGCCGACAGCTGATGGCAGCTTAATGACTGGATGCGACCGTAGTGACTGGCAGGCGGTGGGACTTGCTGGCTGGGGAGGCTGGAACTTGACACACAGCCAGAGGTGTCTGGCTGGAAACTTCTGGCTTGTCTGGGAAAGGCCACTGCGATGCTGCAACACTTGAGCTAGCTGGATTATGAACAGCTCTGAAAAACCAGCAGTGAATGGAAAGTGGGGCGAGACGCAGGGTGGGTTCCTCAGCAAGCGATCCGGGCCGGCTGCCCATGCGCACCGCGGCGAGGCAGCCGTCCGGGCCGTTACGTGCCGGGAGCGCAGGAGATCTAAACCACGTGCACTGCAGCCAAACGTGAGACAAACGGTTGGCTAAAACGCAACAAACTGAGGTTAGAGCCAGAACCGCAAGGCGAGTCAGAACTGGGTAGAGACGGCAGCCGCGGGGCAGTGGTGTGGGGCGGTGGGGAGATGGCTGGGGGACCTCTCGGGGCTCGAAATGCACTGCAGGCACAGGGCACTGGGATATTTCAGAGAAAAATGCAGGAGTAAGGTATCTGGGATGAGATTTGTTATTACAAAGTGCAATACTGTGCTTCAGGCCTGGCAACACTTTCTGCTGTAAGCGGAGTTCATCAGCTAGAAACGGCTGCACTGGAGAAAGACCTGAGCTTCATGATTCCCTCTGGCCTTCCATATCACCGTCCTCTGGCCTGGGGAAAGTGCCCTGAGCTGCTTCACAGGAGGATTTACTGGCAGATTCACGGTGGTCTCGTCAGGCTGTGGAGGGGCTCAGGCATCGCGCTTTGTGTCTCAGGTGCCCGTTCGCCCTCCGATGCCTTGGGGCTCGCTGCGGCGCAGGAATGGGCTCGGTCCCCTCCCCCCGCCCCAACTACGGC